TGTGCTGTTGCAGTTCCCAACAGTAATCCAGTGTGTTGTTGCAGAACCCAACAGTAACCCAGTGTGTTGTTGCAGTACCCAACAGTAATCCAGTGTGTTGTTGCAGTACCCAACAGTAACCCAGTGTGTTGTTGCAGTACCCAACAGTAACCCAGTGTGCTGTTGCAGTTCCCAACAGTAATCCAGTGTGTTGTTGCAGAACCCAACAGTAACCCAGTGTGTTGTTGCAGTACCCAACAGTAATCCAGTGTGTTGTTGCAGTACCCAACAGTAACCCAGTGTTGTTGCAGTACCCAACAGTAACCCAGTGTGTTGTTGCAGTACCCAACAGTAACCCAGTGTGTTGTTGCAGTACCCAACAGTAACCCAGTGTGTTGTTGCAATACCCATCAGTAACCTAGTGTGTTGTTGCAGTACCGAACAGTAAGCCAGTGTGTTGTTGCAGTACCAAACAGTGTGTTGTTGCAGTTCCCAACAGAAACCCAGTGTGTTGTTGCAGTACCCAACAGTAACCCAGTGTGTTGTTGCAGTACCCAACAGTAACCCAGTGTGTTGTTGCAGTACCCAACAGTAACCCAGTGTGTTGTTGCAGTACCAAACAGTAACCCAGTGTGTTGTTGCAGTACCAAACAGTGTGTTGTTACAGTACCCAACAGTAGCCCAGTGTGTTGTTGCAGTACCCAACAGTAACCCAGTGTGTGTTGTTGCAGTACCCAACAGTAACCCAGTGTGTGGTTGCTGTACCCAACAGTAGCCCAGTGTGTTGTTGCAGTACCCAACAGTAACCTAGAGTGTTGTTGCAGTACCCAACAGTAACCCAGTGTGTTGTTGCAGTATCCAACAGTAACCCAGTGTGTTGTTGCTGTACCCAACACTAGCCCAGTGTGTTGTTGCTGTACCCAGCAGTAACCCAGTGTGTTGTTGCAGTACCAAACAGTAACCTAGAGTGTTGTTGCAGTGGCCAACAGTAACCCAATGTGTTGTTGCAGTACCCAACAGTAACCCAGTGTGTTGCTGAAGTTCCCAACAGTAACCAAGTGTATTGTTGCAGTACCATACAGTAACCCAGTGTATTGTTGAAGTACCCAAAAGTAACCCAGTGTGTTGTTGCAGTACCCAACAGTAACCCAGTGTATTGTTGAAGTACCCATCAGTAGCCCAGTGTGTTAAGCTAGTAGTAACATGGCAGAACTGGTGTTTGTTTCCGCACAAAATGTAACTGACTACAATCAACAATAGATGTGAATAAACACGGTTATCAGTATATAATGATACTACATATTCATATTTTACTAACTAAACTGTTAAACCAAACTTTACATTATGCAATGAATGTGGACAGGGAGCTATCTAATAACAAATAGCATGGCACCTACCGTCGAAGAAGATCCTGTTTTATTTTTCGCGTTCTGTTCAGGGATTGTCTCAGGATCTAAAACAATAAAATACGCGCACGTACGTCTTTATCAATGACTGTTCACATTCCACCTTCCTTCGGAAAATGTATCTTGAAAACATCCTTCATTTATTGTTAAAAGGTGCCGAGATAGTTCTCTATTGTGGAAAAATAAAAGACGACAAATAGTATTGACAGATCATTTCCTTGAAAACATTGATTTATAGTACCTGAGACGTGTGCTATTTGACGAAATACTGAATCTGAGTCGATCGTACGATTCCGACTATAACATAAGCATGCCTCGAAAAAAAGTAAATAATATAATGAGGTCTTTTTTCAATACGAACTAAATCGAACATTATCCCTTAGGATAATAGATATTTCATATTTGTTAATCCAGTCAATGTGTTGAAAGTAGTGATGAAATGACAGGTACGTACGCCCTTCTGCCTCTACGTTATCTGTGTGCTGTAGCTCCCATCCATCTTTAGCATCGTCCGACGACTCCTGAAATGCACGTGCTGTGTTTTGTTGGTTCCAGAACTTAGATTCAGAACTCTGTGACGGGTCCTTCATTTTCTCTTCTCCTTCTCTGGAGGCTGAAATTATTACAGTGACAATTTGTAAATTGAGTTGGATCTTACACAGGAAGAAAAGTAATGATTTTCAAACTTATTCAAGATGCACAAGCTTTGGATATATCAAATATCCAAACTAAAATACTATACAAAGTAGAGATAATTTATGGATAACAACTTCTTTATTTACTGTAAATGTGACGTTTCCTTATACAGTTGTCAAGCTATGGTGTTGATTGCCACGTCACCATGTAGACGACGGATGAATTGTTTGATAGGCATTACTTAGAAGTTGACGGATGACAAAGTAGAGAACATTTATGGAAAACAACTTCTTTATTTCCTGGAAAGGCGACGTTTCCGTATATATCCTTGTACCTTATACTGTTCTTATACCCTTATACTGTTGTCAAGCTTGACAGTATGTATATGTCTGTATACACCTATAAGCGTCCATCTTGTTTTCGTACACAAGCACGACCAATACTGAGATGGTTTCCTTCAATTTTCCAAGGTTTCCAAGCCAAAGTACAAGTGTAAATTGTCTCCCTTTACTATCTATTTTGACAAATATGCTCTTTGCAAGGTTTGAATATTTTGGATATGTTAGTCTTTTCAAGAAATCTACAATGTATATACAAGTTTTTATATCAACACTTTTCAACGTTTAATGTCTTGTCGTCTTGTGTTTGTTGATCACGACAAGTGTGCAGAAGCGTTATTTGTAAATAACGCACTCAAACATATATATCTAGGGTCACACATGGTAATGTTATCTCAAGGCGCCAGGGTTGCGTCCCTTAGCCTTCGTCGACCTGACTCTTGGCTTTCAAGCGTCTTACCCGTGTACGTCATTGCACCAAGATGCTCAGTGTCTACGGCCTGGGAGGGACCTTTATGTAGCCTAGTGGTTCAATACTAACACTTATTCACTTACTCTACGACCTGAGTCATTTAAGGTTTTCTTATTAAGTTCCTCAATTTCTACACTGTGTAATATCATTGAAATACTGTTCCACTTTCCTGAAACCTGACTCTCACAAACACTGGTAACTTTAATGTAAGTCACAGTTAAATCCACTCAAAAACATGGACATATACATATAACTGATACATGTGTGTAAGAATCAAAACTGCACAGCAAAAGTGTCTGCCGTCAACAAGATATTTTCACTCAGTTGTTGCAATTACCAAGAGACGAATAGAATTAGAAATATAACAAGACCAACTGATATTACTCTGAAACGCACGTTAGTCTGCAATATTCGAGAAAATGTCGTAAGATGATAATGTCTGCTTACCTTTCTTTAGATGAGCCAGTTTAATGTCTTGATAGATGAGTTTGGTTCTCTCCTTTACCATAACCTGGGACAAAGAAACAAAATAAACAAAACATAAAAGGGTGGCAAATCAATTAAAATATTTGTACAAACCGCGTGTTATTGAAATATTATGTTTTGCTATTTGTTTCTCATACAGACTTGGACACTTACCGATCGTAGGAGAGGAAAAACATTCTTTTCTTGTTCCACTCGTTCTTGCCATGCAATCAGCTCCGCTTCTTGTACAACCGCTGAAAATAAATTTGAAAATAATAAATATACATTGTATGTAACTTTAACAAAAGTACATAATAAAAAGAACACGTATATTTCTCCTAGATTTTTATGCAAATTGTCAGTTATTCTAGTGTTTTATCAATAACATGAACAATGTTAATTGTATAAATATATTATATACAGTAATTAATATAATACTTATTCCAGAATAGCAATACAGGCAGACGTAGGAAATCAAAGGGAGAAACAACACAAACACTATGTATATAGACATGGTCATTGCCATTAACCTGTTTATCGGTGTTACAAGATCCTGTATACAACAATATACGACGGCTCTTTGAGTTTTGACGAAATGTTTTCTGGTATCCAGCGTTTAATCTTTTTTTGTAAAGTTGACAACCAAATCAAAGTAGAAGTTAAAGGACTGCATATCACATTGTCTTTGAACTCCATACTATTTTGATCGCATCACGGTATGGTTCAAGAACTAGACACGAAATGGTAAATGACTTTTGGAATCCGTAGCAACTACAGAACCGAACATCTGTAATAACATCCTGGGATGTAGTAAATATTCAACAATACTCACGTCCTGGGAGAGTTAAAATTTTCACTCTTGTTGGTTCACGTGGCTTGTTCCCTGAACTGCACTTATTTTGTTGAAACTGAAAATACCAAATGAGAAGTGATTAGTAGAGGATTTTATTCTGTGAATTCTGTCAATCCTGAAGTTTATTCCTTACGTTCTCACGAGTGTAGTACAATCTTGTTTAGTTGTATTCGTTACAGTATCTGCATGAATGTAGTAAAAGGTATGTCAAAGCTATGTGGCACACGATAGCAGATATGTCTAGCTCTATTGTAATGAATGTTGCAGCAGAGTGTTCACATTGTCTGAAATGCGAATTTTAACATTAATTTCGATTAATTACTTGAAATAAGATTCACTTACAACAATGTTTTGTCTGAGCTTCTCCGACAGCAACATCAGCACATCAAAGTCTCCTTCTAGATATTTCATCCTTCGACTCCACTGATCTGAAGCACATTTAATATGTGATAAAATAACTTAAGGAACATGTTTTTAACGCACATACCATACTTCTAGAAAACAAACGCCATCATGAAGGCACTGTCGTCATCATTGTCAATCACATGTAAATTATATACGTTCCTATATATTATTTTATCGTTCGTGTGGTTACGTATACAAAATGTTACCATTAGTAAGTGCATCCATTAGTTTCTCCAATCTGTCAATTTCCTGAAAAATCAAATTTAAACATGTTTTGGGCAAAAAGATTGATAAAGCAACTGACTTATTTATGAAATCAAATGTATTGCATAAATATATGTTGTTTATGACTTAATTTCGTTTGTAGAAACTTAAGAAGAACTTTAAAGACGTTTTATAGTTATGTTATAAGTACATTTCAATAATGAAACGTCAGTATACATTACCCTCTCTACAATCCACTTTCTGCACTTAAGCTCCTTGATATCAGTTAGATCTGAAGTTAAAAGGAATAACTGTGTTTCTTAAACAAAATTAGCAAAATTGTTAATGTAGTAACATTCAATAAAATGCGTCATGCATGTTTAAGGTACATCAGTGATTAGCTAACGTACCATGGATGTATGTTTTAAACATATTTATTCCCCAACAAAATTTGAAAATCGATTGGCAAATAAGCCGCATGCTTATTTGAATGCCTCTCCAGGAAACAAAATACAAAGATCAAAGCTGACATGGTTATTTGGCTATGTAGTATAACAAATAAATATATTGTCTCTTATCAACATTTAGGCGTTTCATTGATATGCACATAATGCATATCAGAAGTCTGGTGAACGTCATCCATCATTATCATTCAATTATTTAAACATTTAAATAAATCGACCAGATTCAACAATAAAGTTATATGGACTGATTCGACAATTTGAAGGTTTCAATTTGCAGACTTGTTAGAATTTCCATGCAAAACGGAGTGTAAGTTTTATTGGGGCATATAAAGAGACAACACATTCAATGAGATAAGAAACATGCATACATTCTGGATTTTTAAAAATTAAACTTTACTTGCCATGTTTCTGCCTAGTGTGATACTCTTTCAAGATCTTCAATTAATTGTGCAACGTTTATGTTGGGATCATCAATATTAATGTACAAGGACGTATCCGCAAATTATCTAATATTGCCATCAATATCAGCAACTAGATTTAAACAGACTAAGAACAGTAATGGCCCTAATACTGATCCTTGTGGAACGCCAGCACACACAGATTCTAAAGCAGGGGTGTATCCATTGATCCCTACACGCTGTACTCTATCCTTCAGGTAACTATTGAACCAGTCCAATGATCTACCACTTATCCCATGAGAGTGTAACTTACGTATCAAACCTTCATGCCATACTTTATCAAATGCCTGACTAATGTCACAGAATCCAACTCTTATTTCTTTACCTTGATCGAGGGCTTTTGAAAAAACGAGTTTCCGTATAGCACCGTTTGTAAAGAGTAACCATGTTGGTAAAAATACATTTAATTTCGAAGAACATAGTAATTTGTGGAAGTAATCTTCGTATACAAAATGTATCTAGCACTCTGATCTGCGTTGAGATCGCTGCAGCCAAGCCTGAGGGGACTGTGAATAATTTGACATATTAACCTGTTTCCAAAATTTCAATCCCAGTGTATACGATTATCTCCCCTTCCATGTAGCAAATTAAATTACGAACGTGGTCTGTCCCCGTTAGGTTTTGTGGTAACATATTCCAAAGTGGTGTTATAGCCGGTATAAATGAATAAGCATTTGTTTTACACTTCACTGTTTGAAGATTAGTTTTGTTTAAGTTATAATGTGTGCTTTCAAAAACTGTATTAGGAATAAGCCTACAAATATATTCGGCTGAGAGATGATTATTTATTTTGTAAATCATTACCAATTTTGAAATGTATTTTTTGTCTTTTAATGACTTAGATTTTGTTTCATTGTAACGTTTCTGATAACTCGTACCTCAACAGCGCCAAATTGTTCTTAAGAGCATCTAAGTTTATCTTTTTCCAAGAAATTTTCCATAGGACACCAGTTTGAAGTAAACTATCATATCTATACAGACACATAATTGGAAATAGAAAATATACCATGTTAGTCTGACGTTTATATTTTCTACAAATGGATGCCACAAAACACCTGTTGCCTGCCTGTACTGTGCAATATCAAACCCATAGTTTTAAAATACAGTCACATACTAAATACTCTTGCAAGCATGCAGGAAAAAGCATGAAGGACAAATCGTGTATTTTTACAACTACTGATGGGTGAACATTGGCAGAGTAAACGTGAATTGTAAGCAGATAATTGCAGTTTACTCTTTCTTATCAAAGTTATCAACAGCTATTGTATTCAAATAATTACAAATAAAAAGAGCCGGCATTATGCCAGGCGAAAAGCATGAAGCAAAAGTCATCTAAAAATAATATAAAAGCAGGGGTCAGTATTGCCAAAAATATATACTCAACAACAAAAGTTCCTGTGACACCAATATTTTAGTGTATTTTTCAAACACGTAAAGTTTGGTTTTCAATATTGTAGTACATGTATGGCATCAAGTCACAAAAACGCAACTGCTACAGAAAACCATGCATTCCATGCAAAAGTTGACTTTTATGCAAGCCCCAAACATTTCACTACCAAAGAATGGGTATAAAAACATGTGCGTTGACGGGATTCCATATGCATTCTTCAGCATCGTGCTGACAACAACCACTCAAATAAACAACAAAATTACGCAATTATTCAACATTACGAAATGCCACGCCTGTCCGAAAATGAGCGTCTTTGAGCCATTGGTATGCTTGAAGCAGGATCGAGTCAACGTGATGTTGTAAGACAATTTAACGTCCACAGAAACACCATTTGGTGTTTATGGCAACGTTGGCAACAGACGAATGCAGTCAGAGACCATCCTCGGAGTGGAAGGCCACGCGTAACCAATAATTGACTAGACAACTGGATTCGAACAACACATGTATGAAATCGATTCCAGCCAGCAACAGTGAGTGCAAGAAGCAACCCTGGACTTCGACGAATATCTTCACAAACCGTACGTCGCCGCCTCAGTTGTGCAGGGATTGTCGCCAGAAGACCCGCCAGACGTCCCATTTTGACAGGAAACCAGCGTCAAGCATGTCTGCAGTGGTGCAGACAGCATCTACGCTGGACGGTCATGCAGTGGGGACAAGTTCTATTCACTGACGAGTCTCGTTTTCACCTCAGCCACAGCGATGGACGGATTCGAGTGTACCGACGTCGAGGTGAACGTTACGTCAATCATTGTGTCATGGAAGAAGATCGGTTCGGGGGCGGCAGCGCTATGGTATGGATTTGGATTACAGCAAGACAGAGGACCCGTTTGATAGTGGTAGAGGGAAATCTCAATAGACAGCGCTACCGCGACGAGATCATCGGCCCTGTTGTTCTACCGTTTTTGCGTTGTCATGGCCCACGCATTACCTTTCAACATGACAACGACCGGCCTCATTTTGCTCGCCTTGTTCAGGACTCTCTTCAACAAAACAACGTGAATGTCATCGCCTTGGCGGCTCGCTCCCCTGATCTCTCACCAATCGAGCACATGTTGGATGAGATGGTTCGGCGCCTTCGACGTCAACCACGTATTCCACAAACACTCCAGGAACTTCGAAGCATGCTCCAGCAGATATGGACAGATATCCCACAGGACTTTGTGCGACGCCTGGTCCATTCCATGAGACGAAGATGTGTTGCTTGCATCGCAACCAGAGGTGGATATGCACGCTATTGATTTGTAAATTGACATTTTGGCATGTTCATGTTTTTTTATGAAATCACGCATTTTCTGAAGTCAGTATGGCAAATTAAACCATTTGAACACTTACAGGAGTCTTTTATCTGTAGCAAACCGAAATTGTTTCAGATTTGGTAAAAAGCATAACTTTGCATTAAATCTTATTCAATGTCACGGGAACTTTTGTTGTTCAGTATATTACGCATGTGAGTTTTGGAAGCCAAAGAAATAATGTTTGAGATACATACAAGTTGCAAATTGCCAATGGTGACGTCTTGTTTCCGGTGTCACACTGTTTGTTTCATCAACAATGTTCATATATGGGGACAGATCCAGTTTGCTGAGGTCGTTCACTGATACCACTGATGCATATGCTGACCTGAAAGTATGATTAAGTCATTGATAGAAACAAACAGAGATAATTAACTCAGTTCTGGTGTTCGTATTCTGAGGCATTCCAGTAAAAAGTGTGTTCATATTTTTTAATATAGCCCCTTTGATATATACAAACCTGAGTCTGTCCCTCTCTTCCCGTGACCTACACACCAGTAGAGTGTCCCCCAGTCTGCTCAGTCTCCTGGCCACTTCCAGCATCAGAGTCGTTGCCCCGCTACCTGGTACACACCGGACCTGGACATCCTTACTGTTGATGTTCTCCACCAGAATGATACATTGTTCTTTGGTGAGAAATCTTATACAGTTATCACCTTCACCATTTTCGTTTAGGACTGACTTTGTCTCAGCAATACCTGCCCAAAACGCTGTAAGGACTCTATCATATCTCCTAGGATTCATTAACAATGAACGCATTGGAACAAAATAAGATGAATCCTCAGCCAAAACCTTCAGGCGAGTTTTGAATGCGACACTATCCTTGAGAGTCGACGTATTGATCACTCCATGTATTGAGTTCACATCTTCATCCATGAATCTGATGAGTTTATGTCTCACTCCTCTCGCCACAGACGTGTTGTATGCCAACGCTTCCCTTGACTCTTCATCACCATCAACGAGTGACAGGACCACAGATGGCTTAGTAGGGAAGACGATGAACACATCACACACGGAATTACCTGGACGAGGTGATGTGGTAAAATCCAGAGCCACTGATAATGTTTCTGATAAGAACATGGAACATGGCTCAGTCTTTGGATGGTTCGTACTGTCTACATCTTTATCAGTCCTGGTATCCAATCCTAAGACAAATGCATGGTTTTCTACAAGTTCCAAGAGACAGTCTTTCACTTTTGCTGAAGAGTTTTCAAGATTGCGTGGTGTTACGGTTCGGTCGTCTGAAAAAATACAAATATTTAAAGGAACTATTCTCATTTTGTATCTAAACTTAAGCCTTCCTGGTGGTATAATAACTGAGTTCCCTGTTTTGTGTACCTGTCGACTGAATTGTACTCGAGCATCTATGACTTGGAACAACGGTTACCAGTTACAAGTCTCTCAACACATCAAGTTAGCTTCTCTTTCGGCATGAATAAAACTCAAAGTGTTAGAGTTCGCTGCTGTTTTTGGTGAATATTTGACATGACTTTGCATGTGTTTGTGACGGATGCCACAGGTAGGGGAGTATACATTCACGTTTTTGCGAGTTCAATGCTGTGTCAGATTTTAGTTTTATGTCACCAATCACTTCCTTTTTAGAACATATGCAATTTAAATTGCTGTCCAATGACCAGAAATATCATCAAACCCATTGATCTTAGTGCATAGCTTCATTACCTTCAAAAATGAAGTGTCTCCTGATCTCAAATATGCCGTTTCCAATGTGCTTCAAGTCAGCTCGGAAGAAATCGTTTGTTGCTAAAGTAAAGTCATGCTCTTCCTCTTTGGCGATTTGTTTCTTGAATATGGAATGAAAACATCGTAAAACAGAATTGTCATTTTCAAAAATTCATTTTGAAGCTTGATAAGATAGGATTTTAACTCTTGTGGTAGGATATGTGTTAATGGCAATTGATATCATAAAAGTGATAATCCATACACACCAGCAGCTTCGACATTTTGACGAGGACATGGATTGGTCCTGGAAATACAAACCATGAATTTGAAAGCATCATAAGACTACACACAGTGCTCTGTGCATAACAGGGTTTATGGCAGACAATAAATAATAGTGATCAACCCATTTTCATAACAAGAAATCTCTGACAAAAGCAGAGCCAATAGTACGATTCCGATTACACCATAAACATATGAGTGAGTGAGTGAGTTGGGTTAAACACCGCTTTTAACAGTATTCCAGTTATATCGCTGCGTGTCAGCTTAATGTGGGAGGAAAGCCCGAAGTGATGCAGGTCTCAGACGTTTACCACTTCGGTGAAACCCATTAGCACGGGCATGGTGCTGAAAAACCTAGAAACATAATTGGGGCGAACCGGGATTCGAACCCACAATCATAGGTTTCTGGCGTGCCCAAGGGACGCAACTCTGCACAGCGAATCGCGGCGCCTTAGACGACTGGGCCACCAGTGCCCCCCGAATCACTGTAATAGGGATGAGGTGGTCACGAAAAGGTGAACGTATCCTAGCCCACAGGTGGAACCCGTCACGCACATATTCACCCGAACAAACATGGAAACATATGATAATGCAACTAATCAAGTAAGTACAGTGTTTTCAGTTTACAAAGCCTTTGATGAAAGATTTGATACATCGTATCTAACATAATTAGATTCTGAAACATTATTGATTGATAATTGATGTCGATCTCAATTTATGCATTAGGATTTTATATAGCATGATTCTGAAGCTTCCGTTTAAAAGAAATCGTAAACAGAAGGTGGAACCATTTATAAACAAATAGGATCTGTTACCGTCTTTGTTCTCCACTGCATCAGCTACGCTTGGCTTTCAGGCAGCTTTGTGAAAGCATGGAACCATTCATGGATTTCCATCAGGGTGACTGACTTGTTTGCGGGATCATATTTGTAAGCCAATGGTCCCCGTTGATCGTAAAACACTACACCATTCATGTGTTTTACTAAAATATGTATAATAAACTGTCCACCTGTTTCTAACTTGTGATTTCTAAGTTCATCACCGCAACAAAGCTCTGTGACCTTTGGCGAGCAAGGAATAAAACGAATGTCTACTGTATGTGCATCAGTCACTTTCTTTCCAACAAAGTCACACACAAGAACAGTCTCGTAAATCTTCTGCTTCAACGTATCCTTTAGATAGTCTTGATCATCAACACAAACAGGCTGGAGACGGATCTCTTTAGACTCGTATCCATATTCCGTTTTAAAAACCCATTCCTCTTTTACACCATATAGGAAAGAACCACCCTTTTGAAGTTTGCTCATTGCACTTATGTACTCAGAAAGTTTAAGACTCTTAATAATGTAAGCAACTATATCATGATCTCCTTTCTTGTGAAGAAAGTGACTTTTCATTTGAACTGACCTGTTTTCATGTAAACTTGTAACATCATTTACAGTTTGTATTTCTGAAGGGAGTGAGCTGAATGTTCTTTCGAATTCTCCTTTTCTTCTGATAAATGTCCGCAGTGTATCCGCAGAAATATCCACAATGCAGTCATCAAGTGCAACCTTTGTATTAAAGTCAGATGTTGTCAAGATGGAAGAAGCACTGACATAAAGAGCTAAGAAGTCATAACAATTAAGAAGCTCCCTGTGGTCACTTAGCTTTACCATCCGGTAAACATCAGTAAATAACTGACCATCATGAATCAAGTCATAAAGCTTTGTATCCACAAACTCATGGAATGCGCCAGTAAAAGAATCCCCGGGGGCCAGACCTACAAGATGAATCAGTATATATCCAGCGTTTGAGTTGCGCAGCGCTGATACTTTTTTCAAAAAATGGTCGAGTTTGCGATCTCTCTTCTCCCTTTTCTTCTTTTTGTTATCTTCCCATCGTCCTATACCAAACAGGTACTTAACGTGGATCCCAATAGGCAAGATGTTTTCAGAGGAAGACACACACTGTAAAAATTCACAAACTGCTTTCTCACACCGTGGAATATGTTCACTGAAAGGAAACACAGAATAAGAAGTAAATAGCAGGAGTGTCAGAACTACAAAACAGTCCCTCGAGCATCTTTGTGGTCAGTTCACAATACCGACAATATACATTTTCCTATAGTTATACATTTTTGTAAATTGGTTGAGTTCCGTACGTGAAAGGGAACAAATACCAAATGCGGAATATAAATTACATAACTATACTCAACAGACAAGTTTCAACAGTGCATATCGTTCACATCAGATGTTTGAAATACTCACGTTAGACACGTTGTGTGGACGATCTGTTTAGGTTTTGATTTCTTGGTGCGGGATGCGAAATCGTTCCTGGCATAAACAAGTACAGGGACAAAACCAGTTGGGGCTGTACTTTCCTTAGAATATATTAATCCTTGTTCTTATAAATCTCTGACAAAAGCAGAGCCAATAGTACGATTCCGATTACACCATAAACATATGAGTGAGTGAGTGAGTTGGGTTAAACACCGCTTTTAACAGTATTCCAGTTATATCGCTGCGTGTCAGCTTAATGTGGGAGGAAAGCCCGAAGTGATGCAGGTCTCAGACGTTTACCACTTCGGTGAAACCCATTAGCACGGGCATGGTGCTGAAAAACCTAGAAACATAATTGGGGCGAACCGGGATTCGAACCCACAATCATAGGTTTCTGGCGTGCCCAAGGGACGCAACTCTGCACAGCGAATCGCGGCGCCTTAGACGACTGGGCCACCCGTGCCCCCCGAATCACTGTAATAGGGATGAGGTGGTCACGAAAAGGTGAACGTATCCTAGCCCACAGGTGGAACCCGTCACGCACATATTCACCCGAACAAACATGGAAACATATGATAATGCAACTAATCAAGTAAGTACAGTGTTTTCAGTTTACAAAGCCTTTGATGAAAGATTTGATACATCGTATCTAACATAATTAGATTCTGAAACATTATTGATTGATAATTGATGTCGATCTCAATTTATGCATTAGGATTTTATATAGCATGATTCTGAAGCTTCCGTTTAAAAGAAATCGTAAACAGAAGGTGGAACCATTTATAAACAAATAGGATCTGTTACCGTCTTTGTTCTCCACTGCATCAGCTACGCTTGGCTTTCAGGCAGCTTTGTGAAAGCATGGAACCATTCATGGATTTCCATCAGGGTGACTGACTTGTTTGCGGGATCATATTTGTAAGCCAATGGTCCCCGTTGATCGTAAAACACTACACCATTCATGTGTTTTACTAAAATATGTATAATAAACTGTCCACCTGTTTCTAACTTGTGATTTCTAAGTTCATCACCGCAACAAAGCTCTGTGACCTTTGGCGAGCAAGGAATAAAACGAATGTCTACTGTATGTGCATCAGTCACTTTCTTTCCAACAAAGTCACACACAAGAACAGTCTCGTAAATCTTCTGCTTCAACGTATCCTTTAGATAGTCTTGATCATCAACACAAACAGGCTGGAGACGGATCTCTTTAGACTCGTATCCATATTCCGTTTTAAAAACCCATTCCTCTTTTACACCATATAGGAAAGAACCACCCTTTTGAAGTTTGCTCATTGCACTTATGTACTCAGAAAGTTTAAGACTCTTAATAATGTAAGCAACTATATCATGATCTCCTTTCTTGTGAAGAAAGTGACTTTTCATTTGAACTGACCTGTTTTCATGTAAACTTGTAACATCATTTACAGTTTGTATTTCTGAAGGGAGTGAGCTGAATGTTCTTTCGAATTCTCCTTTTCTTCTGATAAATGTCCGCAGTGTATCCGCAGAAATATCCACAATGCAGTCATCAAGTGCAACCTTTGTATTAAAGTCAGATGTTGTCAAGATGGAAGAAGCACTGACATAAAGAGCTAAGAAGTCATAACAATTAAGAAGCTCCCTGTGGTCACTTAGCTTTACCATCCGGTAAACATCAGTAAATAACTGACCATCATGAATCAAGTCATAAAGCTTTGTATCCACAAACTCATGGAATGCGCCAGTAAAAGAATCCCCGGGGGCCAGACCTACAAGATGAATCAGTATATATCCAGCGTTTGAGTTGCGCAGCGCTGATACTTTTTTCAAAAAATGGTCGAGTTTGCGATCTCTCTTCTCCCTTTTCTTCTTTTTGTTATCTTCCCATCGTCCTATACCAAACAGGTACTTAACGTGGATCCCAATAGGCAAGATGTTTTCAGAGGAAGACACACACTGTAAAAATTCACAAACTGCTTTCTCACACCGTGGAATATGTTCACTGAAAGGAAACACAGAATAAGAAGTAAATAGCAGGAGTGTCAGAACTACAAAACAGTCCCTCGAGCATCTTTGTGGTCAGTTCACAATACCGACAATATACATTTTCCTATAGTTATACATTTTTGTAAATTGGTTGAGTTCCGTACGTGAAAGGGAACAAATACCAAATGCGGAATATAAATTACATAACTATACTCAACAGACAAGTTTCAACAGTGCATATCGTTCACATCAGATGTTTGAAATACTCACGTTAGACACGTTGTGTGGACGATCTGTTTAGGTTTTGATTTCTTGGTGCGGGATGCGAAATCGTTCCTGGCATAAACAAGTACAGGGACAAAACCAGTTGGGGCTGTACTTTCCTTAGAATATATTAATCCTTGTTCTTTGGCATAGACAGAAACGGATTCATAACCTCTTGGTACGTTGCTTCCCTATCTGGTATATATGACATTGTCACCATGTACCCACACAGTTACATGTTCACACTCCTCTGGTATAACATCACCCTGTGGTTCATAAAACACTTCCTCATCCTTGTGGTACACAGTTACACTTTGTGAGTTTGATAGTATCTCATCCCCACAGTATTCACATAGTAACATGACATCTGGAAGCCTCAATCAAATGATCAAATGAAAATCACTCTAAGCCTACTGTAAGGCTGCATTTGTCAAACTGCGTAATAGCTAAGGTTTGGTTGTTATGTATACATTTGACGTCAAGCATGAATACACATCATGTAATATTCAGCCAGTCCCTGCATTGAATGAATGTCTGCCAGTTGAACAACCACACTGTCGTCGCCTCTCACGACAGGTAATAGAGCCCCGGTAACCTATTTAAATCCGGATCCCTACGGAGGCCTAAGTCTAAAATTGCAAACTATTACCCCCAGTTTGCTCTCTGAAGATCACGCCGTAAACAAATTTGGAAATTATCAAAACTCTTTTGGGATGAATAATTACTGTATGCAACGAATGTATTTGTAATATTGCATACATCTGAAATGTAAAGATACAAATCAATAATAGGTTATTCTGTAAAGAGAAGAAGTCCAAAGGCACAAAATCTAAATAACCGTAGCAAACAAAGGGACTGGGGCTAGGATTTTCTCTTGAGATTAGGTAATTTCTTAGCTTGAACTGCGAAACCAGATAGTTATTTATTTAAAACTATGAGCCTGCATATCTTTTATGCAAAACACCTCGCAACAATGTTATTCTTGTGGCATAAATGTTTTTAAGCATAATTTTCTTATCATCAATTTTCAGGCACAATGTATTCTTTTCAATAAAATTACAAACCCCTGGAATAAAAACAACAAAGATTCTTTATAATCTTGTGAGGTATTAATAGTTATGCTATTTCAAAACTATTGGAGTGATTATTTAATTATTCATTTATGGTTACCTGAAAGTAAACGGTGTTTTCGAGAGTTTTAATGTAAACGAATCCTCACTTAACCAAATACCTCGTGCATAGACAAGATAATGTAATACTGATACTAACTGAAGACAAATAAAGACAATAGATAACACCCTGCCGGATCAATGCATTTGGACCAGCCTCTATACGACATAGAGGTATTTGACCGAGTGTCCCAATCGTTAATGCAACATCTTCAATCACATTGTGTAATTATTGATAACATTCGAACTTTGTGACGTATTTCGTACCCTTAAGTCATTTTAGGAACCGCGCATGAACACATTGCCTGATTACAAAGAACCATGTACTATATAGTGCTAAATGATGTGGAGCCAGGTTTCCAGCACTCCCACATCAGGAAAATCCTAACCTTGTTTTATTGTGAAAGCTATGCACATCGATGTATTGAGCTCATTAAAAGCAGTTCATGCAATGTGACTTCATTTGCACGTTAATCCTTTTGCGATAGCAAGTTTATGGGATAATTTTCGACAATATAATTTATTACATGGCAAAAAATGTTTATTAACAACTGGTGGATTTATGATCTCTTTTCTCCCTCTCCCTCTTCCCATCCTCTCGTTTTTAAACGTTCCCCCTAGGGCAAACAGCGAGCATAGCAAACTGAGTTTTAAGGTACACACCACTATTCACATCTTTATTGTAGAGATACTTGAAGGCCACAGGGATATAGGAAAAATCTGTTTGTGTAGTAGATGATTTATCTTATAGTTTCTAAACTTCCTTGCATGAAATATATATGTTGTTAAGGACAATGATACATAGATATTTACAGACAACGTTAATACAACATTCTTACCTGTCAATAATAGCTTCTGGACCAGGTAATCCAATGATTGATATTATGAGGAGTTGCGGGGAAGGATGACACCAAGTCAGCCATGTCATCAAGTCTGACCACCGGATCATTGGGGCCCAGGCTAACCAAAAATTCCTAGTAGAGTTTCCAAACAATGTACATATTGGCATTGTGTCAATGTACCGCAGGAATAATATAGATTAACACGAAGACCTCACCACCATCCAACCCCTATGATGTAACTACCCACACGTGGGTCCTCCCTGTGTGACATCTTGAGCCCAAGGTGTTTGCCCACAGTTTATGCCAGTATGTGTAATGATATATTATGTTTGTTGTACTCACACATTAATTGATTTATACTGTTATGGCAGTGTAATATTTTGTTCAACAGTGGTGCGTAGGTTCAGAAGAACGTCATAGCATTATGTCGACAAGTAACAACGATACTATCAATATTAGCTTTTCTTTTAAGCCCCCAGATTTGACGCATCAGTGACAAAAAATATGGCCGTTGCAATTCCCTACCTTGACTTGTACTATGTGTTCCCGTGTTTATTTCAGATGAACAAATGACTTGATTTTGTATGTGTTCGTGACGGGCGCCACAGGTCACGAGCTCACGATTACATGGTATCATCACCATTTGAAAGTGATTAACTAACACTTACCATTGATACAGTCGGAATTGTACTATCGACTTTGCCTTTAGCAGACATTTCTTGTGGCTATTTCTTTGTCCTTTTACTTTCATGCATGGTTAAACAGAATACAACTAACTAATGGCAAGGCGTATGGATATGTGTCCGGGCTAACGCTACTTTAAAAGGTATTTCAGTCACTAGCATAGCTGTGTCTAAATATAGAAGCACCCTACAAGCACGTGTATAGTGCTGAAAGGCCAAGACGCAAAACCGAGGCGAGTTTCAACCAATGGTTATAACATTCTGGCACGCAAAGGACCTAACACTGCAGAGCAAATGTAACACGCAGAAAGAGGCTCTTTTACAGATATTTTTTGTTGCATAAAATTCGTATTTTGCGACATCCTATTTCAAAACCATAGCCATAATAATATCCATATTAGTAGTAGGGGGGTGGGGGTGGGGGTGGGGTGCTACTGCTGCTGTTATTGTTGATGGTTTGCTTGTTTTTTCTTTTGGATCTTCTTTATCTTCTTCGGTGCTACTTTCTTTGGTTCAGTCTGTTTCAGCTTGTTGGAAGTGGAAACAGGAAGCGGAAACAGACTGAACCAAAGAAAGTAGCACCAAAGAAGATAAAGAAGACCAAACAGAAAAAAACAAGTAAACCATCAACGATAACAACAGCAGTAGCAGCAGTAGCAGAAGCAGCAACAACAGCAGACTGGAAAACGGAATAGCTCATGGCATGCTGCTAAATGTTGTTTTCCAGTTTCCAACAGTTTCCAGTTTCCAAGAGTTTCCAGTGTCCATCAGTTTCCAGTTTACACACAGTATGTGAAATCAACCTTACTCAATATGCACACAACATTATACAGTAGAACTAAGGACATTTTTTCGAATGGTCGGCCATATAGCTTCACTGTCTTCATTGTGACAAGTTAGGTTTCTGTCAAAGTGTTTATTCAGCAACTTAGAGTCTGGACGGACAGGGATCGCATCTGTTTACTTTCTAATCTCTATTAAGGAATAGGCAGTGGCAAGCTAGGCCTGACGGAAACTGGCACTTGTTTGGCAGATAGGTTTGATTAATGGTGTAATGGTAGTTTCTGCTTGTTCTCGCGTGACTTGGTGAAACTTTATAAGTATACAATTTGATGCTACCCGACTTATAATAATAATCCTTATATACTCTTCAGAAAAAGAAACGCATAGCCAGGTAGGAACATATATTTATACGAGGAACCGTACAAGGTATAAAGCTAAAATGTTTTGGAGAGAACAGTTAATGATTGTAAGTCCAAGGTGAAAGTCAGCTACCATAAATAACGCGAATGTTCCCCGTGGTATGCGAATCATATCCTGGTGAATGGTAGCCCACTCGGGCTGCAACACAAACGCCAACTGCTTCAACGTCTGGGGTTGTGGTTGACGTCGGCGTAGCCGTCTATCCAATTCATCCCACAGGTGCTCTATCGGGTTCAAATCCGGGGATCTGGAGGGCCAGGTGAGAACATCAATGTTGTTGTTGTTGTTGTGTAGACAGGCTCTTGTGATCCGTGCTGTATGCGGTTGTCCTGCTGGAATACGCCGTTGCCGTCGTCTGTAATTGGGAGGACGTATGGTTGGAGAATTTCGTTAATGTATGTTTATCCGTAAGATTGCTCTGGATATGGACCAAACCTGTCCTGCCATGATGAGAGATATAAGCCCACATCATAACGCTACTCCCATCAAACCTGCCCACTTCCTGTTCGAAGTTTCTGGCGTAACGTTCTCCCCGACGTCTGCAGACCCTTGCTCTTCATCCCCTCGACGGAGGAGAACGGTGAACCAGATACCTCTCCATCGCAGTTGAGGCAATACTATGTCGTTCCAGCCAGTCGTTGCCAATGCAGCCGTTGTTGGCGATGTTGTCGACTCAATAAGACGCGTCGACCAGGACGTGTTGCTCTTACGGTACATAATTTATTAATATTTGCACGTCTTCCCTTTCTCACAAGTCAATAGGCTTGAATCCTACTGATTTTTAAATGAAATATTTGCGTTCAACACATTTAATTATTTTTGACGCTTTAAACATAAATAGAGATATATGTATATAGATGTATATCGATTCATACATTAAAGCCACACACATATTTTTACACAATTAATATGTATTGCTTTTCTATTCTATGAACATTTACGTGCTTTTTTCTGTGTTTAGCAGGGTTTATTTTCCGTACTGTTCGCTCATTGTTACGTGTCGATTACAAATTGAAACAATAAGTAAACTGTCATACAAATAACAATTGTATTATAAAATGAATTAGATTTATAACTGAATACAAATTACTGCAATTTAATTGCAATAGCAATACACAATAGCCTGTCAATACAACATTTAATTACACTATGCAGAATTTGTATAAAATATGTTCCATACTATTTGTTCATTATTCATTCACAAAACGTATTGGCTTATGGTAAATCACAAAACGCATGTGGTTCGGACCCTCCAGGCTTCAGAATATTTAAGAATATTTATCTCAGTGAGCTAGCACTATAAATCGGCATCAGTCCGGACTAGTACAAGCAGTCCCGCACACGCACGCACGCACGCACACATGCACGCACGCACACACACACACACACACACACACACACACACACACGTGCATGCACGTCGCTATATAAGTCCAATAATCTTGGACGCGACGCTAAAACCAATTTCACCTCCCCTCACCTCAGAATATTTAAACGTAACAGCAAATGTTTAGAGGAATCAGAAAAAGTGCCAGGTATAACGCTTAAGGTTGAGAATGTCGTGGTTATCT